TGTGTGTGTGTGTGTGTGTGTGTGTGTGTGTGTGTGTGTGTGTGTGTCAAGATCACGTGTACCCCAGGCTAGCCTCCAACTCTGTTTGTACTTGAGGATGACCTTGAACTTCTTTCTGATCCTCCTGCTTCAACCTCCCTAGTGATTTTAATTGAGCTACGCCACGCCCAGGACTGAGGATCTAACCCAGGGCTTTAGGCACATCAGGTGATCAAGGTACAAATTAAGGTACCTCCCCAGCCTTAGGGCATTGCTCCTTAATAAGCCACTTGAACACTTGTAGGGGAAAGCAAATTATTTAGTAGGTCCCTCCCTTGATTACATTTGTCCTCAAAATTTGGACAAGTCAAGCCAAATGTTTTCGGGGGGGGGGGGCCCTTGGAGATTCTGATAAAATAGAGATACAGCTTAATCCAAAGGTGACAGTCTAGAGGGTGAGCCCTGTAAGCTGAGATATTGGTCTTTGTGAGGTATTGTTGAAGAGAGGTTTTTATTGTAGGTATGAGGGAGAACACAGCCAGAGAAAGAGAAAGGAGCAGAGGAGTGAGGAGAGGAGAGGAGAAGACAGAAAGGGAGGGGAGGGAAAAATCAAGAGAGAGAGCCCATGGCTGAAATGGCAAGGCTATATAGGATGAGAAGCTGGGGGAGGGAAGCCCATGAGCTGAAGTTAGGGTAAAAGCAGGATGAGAAGAGCTGAAGAGGTGGCAGTGGCCATGCCAGTAATCCCAGCATCAGGGAGGCAGAGGCAGGCTGATCTCTGTGAATTCGAGGCTAGCCTGGTCTACAAAGCAAGTTCTAGGACAGCCAAGGTTACACAGAGGAACCATGTCTGGAAAAACAGAAGCAGGGAGACTGAAGGAAGCCATGGACTCCAGGTACTTGTGCTGCTGAGAGAGACTGGAGGCCAGCATGCTTTTTTGTATGCTAGTAAGCACCACGGTTTGGAAAGGGCTATTGTGACTTTGGGTAAGGGCAGCAGGGACAAACTTGTTTGTTTTGGGACTGGGCGCCTGGGCTTCTTCTAAATCAGGCACTAGACTTTGTCCTAAGAATCCTTTAAGGACTCCAGATCAACTGTGCTCTTAATTCAGAAACGTTTGCTTCTGCATTGTGTGGTATAGCATCACTGTAACATTAACACTCCAGAGACAGGCAGGAAGGCCTAACGGTAGAGTTTAGCCTGGGCTACACAGTGAGACATTGACTCAAGGGAAAAAGAAAACAATGTCAGGCTTTAACATCAGTATTCCTTCTGTCTTATAGTTGCTACTGTGTGTCTTAAGACATGCTTTTGAGGAGAAAATGTTTTTCTGGCCATCATTTATATACATGTCTACACAGCCTTTTCTGAAACTTCTACAACTCCTACATTATCTTGTCACGGAAAACGTGGGCTCTCTGTAGTGAATAGGAGGAAAATACTGACTCTAAACGGTCTCATGTCAGTTAGGTCAGGTTTTACCACGAAATGAGTTCAAGGCAGGTCAAGTGTGCTGTCAAACGAGGAACAAAAACAAACGAGTGTTAGGAGGTTTACTGGTACATGAGTATTTGTGGATGTGCCTTCTCTTACATCAAATTTTTCACTTATGTACAGTACATGTGGAAACAAAATTAACTCACATAAGACAGGCAGTAGGCTGGGTTAGCGGTGGCTGCTGTCTGAGAATTTGCCCTTCACCTCCCCATCCCTTTTGCTTGCCTGTTTATTATCATAATTTTGGATTGATCCTATATGTAGGGTTTATGTCATGGATTTATGGTTTATTTTTCAGCAGAAGTTTTATTAAAAAGTAATTGTTTTGTTAGGCACAGTGGTGTACACCTTTAATGCCAGCACCTGGGAGACAGAGGCAGGTGGATCTTTTGAGTTTGAGGCCAGCCTGATATATTTACAACCTGATATAATTTACAGTTAATTGCTGGCTAGCCAGGGCTGTGTAGTGAGAACATGGCTAACAATACAAAAGCAATGAAAACAACAACAAAATGGTTTCAAAACCACTGGCCAGCATATCCCAAGGTCTCCCATTTTAATGTTCAAGAATGTCATTATTGG